CAGGCTTCATCCCCAACCAGTCTTCTCAGCAGCACCCAAGGGCCCGCCAAGCCCCCACCCCCTTGCTCCACCCTCATCCCAGCAAACTCAGGCCCTGCTTTTCTTCAGAGTGAGCGAAAGTCTTGGTGCCTTTAAGAATTCCTGTGCCTCCAAAACGCTCAGCCCGGCCCCTCCGGGCCCTTCCCAGCCCCTCAGGCACCCCCACCGCCCTGGGGAGGGGGTGGTTCACCTGAGCTAACGGACTCATCTTCCTCTTCGGCAGCAACATGGCAGCTCCAGGGAAGGGTGGGGCGCCACCACCCAGTTAGCGAGAGTCCAGGGTTACGACGTGATGCCAGTGAAACAGGAATCAAAGGGGCATTATTTACATTCACAAAGTGACAATCAATAATTAGGAGGTAGAGAATCTATGTGACCCAAAATCTGAAGTTTTTAAATCTATAAATAGCAGGAAGGCCAACACTGCACAGCATCTCTTACATATGGAATCTAAAAAGAAAAGTCAGCCCTGGCCGGTGTGGCTCAGCGGATGGAGTGCAGGCCTGTGAACCAAAGCATCACTGGTTTGATTCCCAGTCAGGGCACATGCCTGGGTTGCAGGCCATATTCCTGGTATGAGGTGTGCTAGAGGCAACCACACATTGATGTTTCACTCCCTCTCCTTTTCCCTCCCTTCCCCATCTCTCTTAAATAAATAAATAAAATCTCAAAAAAAGAAAAAGAAAAGTCAGCCCTGGCTGGTGTGGCTCAGCGGATTGCGTGCCGGCCCACGAACCAAAGGATCGCCACTTTGGATCGCCAGTTCGATTCCCAGTCAGGTCCCCAGTGCGGGGCACAGGAGAGGCAACCACACATTAATGTTTCTCTTCCTCTCTTTCTCCCTCCCATCCCCTCTCTAAAAATAAATAAATAAAACCTTAAAAAAATAAAATAAAAAGTCAAACTCATAGAAATAGAGTAAAAAAAAGGGGGTTGTCAGGAGCTGGGGGTGGGCGGATGGAGGAACTTGGAAGAGGCTGTAAAGAGCACTGACCCTCCATGGTGCGATGAGTGAGGTCTGAGGGTCTGATGTGAGAGGCGGTGACCGCAGCGGACAGCACCGTGTCCTCTAACTGAACTCAGCTTAGCAAGTGGAACTCCAGTGTCCTCTCACGCACAGGTGAATGAACAAGCATGTGAGGCGGTGGCTATGTTACTTAGACGGGAGGACCTCACCCCCATGCACACACATAGGAGATTACCATGGCGATGCTTTAAATATCCCATTTTATTTATCAGTTACCCCTCAGCAAAGCTGAACAAAATCTACAGATACCGCTGTCAACATATAATTTAGAGTTACATACGCAGATGCCAGAGAAGCGAAGAGCTGAAACTTTGGGAAGGGGCTTGGCCGCAGTGAGAGGGTCCGAGGGCGGGCCCAGTCGCCTCTCGCTATAAACTCGTCTGCGGAATTTAATGTATTTATTTGACCCTGTTTTTCCTAGGGATGTCCTGAATTATTTTCCAGACTGGCTGCCTCACATCGCAGTCCTTGGCGTTGGTGGCGCAGTCACCTCTGCAGCCGCCGCCCAGGCCTCTCGGGAGGAGAGGCCCCGTTGGCGCCCAGCTTTGAGCAGGTGAGAAGACAGGGGCCCGCGACTCTCCCTCACGCTCCTCCTGTCCCGCAGCTGGGCCTCCCTCCCTCCCTCCCAACAAACCGGGTGTCTCCGTGGGGTTTTAGCTGGTAGAGGACTCTTGTGGATATTTTGCTTTTATTCTGAGAATTGGCAGAGAGGTATCAGCAGCCCTTTCTCACAGATACGGGAGCTGATGTTCACCCGCGACGGCTCCAACTCCAAGCTTGGCCTCTTTCCACTCCTCTTTCTCCTTTGGTGGGGCCAGTTCGGTAGGGTCAGAGCCTTGAGAAGGCCTGTGGTAAGGGACATTCCAGACGTCACTGGACTGTGAGGGGGAGGTCGTCCGAGCCGCATCTCTGCAGCGCCCAGGCCGCGCCAACCCACCCCGAGGCGCTGCGTAGCCCTGGTCTAACCTCAGCCTCCTGCCCTGACAGGCTAGCCCTTCCTCAAAAGGCTCGCTCCTGAGATGAGTCATCCCAGTGCTTAGGGCTGGGCCAGGAGCAGATGAGTCCATGCAGGGGACATCTTGGAGGAGCCGGAGAGGAAGAAGAAGGTGAACCAGTGGCTCAGGCAATCTGGTCCCTGTCTGCCAGGCTTTTTCCTAAGGTGCTGGGCTGTCCCCACCCTCCCCGAACCTTGGCACCAGCCAGATTGCCTTTTCACCTGAGCCGTGGTGACAGGGCCCGAAGACCAGGCAGTTTCCAGAAACTTAGTGTCCAAGAAGAGCGTTCAAGGCTGTGAAGGACCTCTGGAAATGGCCAGTCTAAACGCCTCAGTGTTCAGACGAACACGCTGAGGCCCAGCGAGGTGACCCAGGCCTGGAGCCCAGGTCGCTGGTGCCTTCTGCCTGACTGCAGGAGATGTGCAGGGGCCGCCTCGGCTTCCTCGGAATTCAGCCGCACGCAGCCCACGCAGCCCGCGCAGCCGGACCCGCTCCTCCGCCGAGTAGATGGAAAGCGGAATGCACAGGTATCCGTCTCACTGCTCTGCTGAAGGAGACCCCCCAGTCCTTCCTCCTCCGGGACCCTGTTCTACTGTTTTCACGTCTCTCACATTGGAAAAATCCCTGTGCTGTCTGATCTAACTCTCCGCTCTGCAATTTAAGGGAAGCAAAGCCCAGCTCACCCTCTGCTAATTTCCTTCCCTTGTTTTTCTTCCCACTCATCGTGGTGCAGAACCGGCTACATAATTTGTGGGGCCCAGTACAAAATGAAAATGCTAAGCCAATTGTTCAAACATTATTAAGAATTCAAAGTTGGCAACAGCAGAACATTAAATTAAGTGTGGCGCCCTGTGTCTACACAGGTTAAAAAACCACAAAGTTGGCCCCTCCTCTGGTGATACTTAAACTCAGCTCTCGTGGCTGGTGCTGAAAAGTCAAGTTGTCCATTTTTCTGCCTTCATGCTGGTCCAGGTCACCTGTCTTCCGTAGGTAAGAATCTCCTTATGTGTCACCCACACACCCTTCCCAGGAGCTCCAGGCCTCTGCTTCGAGCACTGCCGGGAAGTCCTTCTAAATATCTAAATTTAAATCTCAGTCCTTTGGGCCTGTTTCCTCTTGTTCTGTCCTCGCTGATTATGGAGAACAGCTGGTCCTCCCGTGTAATTAATTCTTGTCGACTTGGACACGGCCTGCAATTCCTTTTCCCTTTCCTCATTGGGCCCAGTCCCCACTGTTTTCTTCAACTCTGTCCCTTCTCTGGTGCCTGCCCCAGCTTCCCTGCGTGCTTGGACGCCACGGGTTTCACAAGAAGCTCCAAAGAGCAGGAGTCAGGGCCCAGAGGGCTCAGTGCCTGGGGGCAGGGGAAGGGCTGGGGAAGAGGGGAGAGTGGAGGGGAGACTCCGGCCTTGATGAACAGCCCATCCCCCATCAGGCCCAGTCTTCCTCCTCCAAGAGTACTCTACTTTTATCTATTTCATGAACAGTTCCCAGATAAAGTCCCCCACCCCCACTGACTCACACTGGCGACTCTCAGCTCTTGGCCGTCTCCATGTTTCTGTTCTCAGTGTGTCTCAGATGGAATGCTTCCCTTGGGAAATCCCATTTCCATGTCCCGGGACAGAGAGACCCATGGGCTGCAGCTGGGAGAGGCCTATCAGAAGCCACCACGAGGCAGAGTGGGTCTGGCAGACAGACAAGCGGCCACACTCTCAAGTCTGCCGCTACCAGAGTGCCGAGTGGCCGCTGTAATCTGAAAGAGCAGACACTATAACCCCACACTACTTCCTATTGGCCACAGGACGCAGCTCTGAAATTTGGGTGTGCCTTGGTCCTGGAATTCACAGGCTCACAAGTCCGAAGCAGCTGTGTGGTGGGGAGGGTTTCAGCGAAGGAAGTGAGGTCACTGAATAACTGATGCCTGTCTGAGCCTTTAGCCTCTATTCCTGGCACAGAGCGGGGGTCCCCAGCCCCTCTTACAGAATCTCCCACTAGAGCAAGACACCTAGGGGTCTGCACTTGCTTCTAATATCCATGTCTTTCAGTAGAAAGGTGGCTGAGGCCACCACCTCCTCAGCCTTTTCCGTTATTAATTTGATGAAACACCTTCACTGACGGCCTACCCTGCATCAGGCTCAGCCAACCATCTGAAGCTGGCACTGTTTACTATGTCCACTTAGCAGATCGGATGGCAGCCTGAGACACGGAGAGGTGTCAGTTGTCCAAGCTTTCAGAACGAGTCTGGAGTCCCTGGCTCCAGCCTTGGTGGGTAACCAGGGGGCTAGGAATGAAAGGGGGGTCCTGCCTTCAGGGTGTTTACAGCGGTTGGCGGAAAAGCGAGTGAAGGGTATCAGCGCTCTAAGCCTGTGTGAGGGCGTCAGGAGGAAGCATTCGTTTCTCCCTGGGGGACAGACCATTCTGCTTCCCCCAAACCTTGTCCACCTTGTCCCAGCAGTGCCCAGAGGCAGGCCCTGGCCCCCATTTCGGAAGCTCCATTTAGTGGCGTGAGGGGCCTGCCTCAAAACCGGCAGTCGGAAAAGCTTCCAGCCTCTCCCGCTCCACCCTGGCCCCCGGCGAGGAGAGGCGGCTTCACGTAGGCGCCGGCTGGAGGGGCTCAGACTGTCTTGGCCCCTGACCCAGAGCCGCCCCATCTGGGCCTGTTCACCCTGCGCAGAGGAGAGAGACAGGAGGGGACCAGAGGGAGTGAAGGGGCGGGAGGGAGGAGGCTGAAGGATTTGGACCGAGTGGGAGTCCCCGAAGGCAGGAGGAGGGGCCGGGGCAGCAGGTTCGGCCGCTGCCAGCCCCAAACTTTGCCCTTGCTGCCGTCAGCCCCCGAGGACCAGGGTGGGGGTCGAAGGCGGGGGTAACTTCTGCCCGCTGACCCCGCCCCGCGCGGCCTTCCCGCGGTGGCCCCTTCCCACCCCGGGGTGTCAGGTCAGCCCTCGGCCGCTCCGCGCCGCAGGGGGCGCCCCACCGCACCCTGCCCCTCCCCCGGCCTCGGGTGGTGCCTGCGGCCCATCGAGCTCCGGCCCCTGTGGCTCGGGACCGGACCCCAAGCGACCCCTGCCGCCCGAGTCCGGGGCCCGCCCCCTCGGGGCGGCGGATGTGGGAGGCTCGCGGCGGGGGCGCGGGCCGCGGTCGCGCGGCTGGGGCGGCTGACCGGCCGCTGCCCCGGGGTCTGGGAGCCGCGCGGGGGAGGGCGCGGGTCCTGGCAGCCCCGGCGAGGGGCGAGCGGGCGGCCGGTCGGCGAGCTGGGCAATAGGAAACGGTTTATTAGGAGGGAGTGGTGGAGCCGGGGCCAAGCAGGAAGACGCTGGAATAAGAAACGTTTTTGCTCCGGCCCCTTTCCCAGTCCCGGAGGCCGCCGCGCCGGCAGCGCCGCGCGAGCCCCTCCCCGGCCCCGGCCCCTCGGCGGCCCCAGCGCGGGCCTGCCGTCCAGCCTTCGTGGTGCGACCTCGGCCGTCGCCGCACGCCGGTGTCCCGCGGCCCGCCGGCAGGCTCCGAGGTGAGAGGAGGCCCGCGGGCGGGGCCGGGTGGGGGCGGCCTGACTGCGCCCCGAGCGGGCCCTGCCTCGGGGCAGGTCCCCGGAGCCCCGAGAGAGGTCGCGGCAGGGTCAGCCACCGCTCGGCAGGGGCGCCCGCGAGCGCTCGCCCTCCCGCACCTGGGACTGGGAGGGCGCCGGACTGTACCCAGAGTCAAAAACCTGCTCCTGGGCCAGGTCACTTCTCTGTTCTCCTCTTCTCATCCGTGTGAAACGGCCAGGATTCGCGCCCTGCCGCACTCACAGAGAAGGGACCACGTACCCTGGGAGTGAGGGTCCACCTCAAACGTTTTGAGCCTCCCCTTGAAGTCCAGCTTTCCCAGAACAGCCCTTGCAGCTCTCGCTTAAGGAAGCTGACACTGTAACTCCAGCTTGCGAGCCTCGCCCCTAACCTGCATCATCACCCCGCGGTGGCCGTCCTTCAGGGCTCAGGCCAGAGGGTCCCCAGTCTCCCTGCAGGAGGGAACCCCAGGTTTCCAGTCCGCCCTGGAGGCCAGTGCTGTTGAGCCCGCCCCCTTTCTTCCTCCCAGGTCGGAGCCATAGTGGACAGCGACTTTCACCCCCTCTGTTTACGGGCAGCTGCTGGCTGAGTCAGGTCCGTCCTCTCTAATCCCTCACTGCCCCCTTTGTCCTAATACCTGTCCTTCCATCTCATTGGGTGGTTAAAGGTGGCTACTTTTTATTGAGTACTTACTATATAGACATATATATTTTTCTCATGTAATTCTTGCCACAATTTAGCAGAAGAGGGGTTATTATATTCATCCTACAGAAGAAGCAGATTCAGACTTGAATCGCTTGTCCAAACTGCATGGATGGTGTAGGTGATGATTGGGTTTTTGCTAACATTTGTTAAGTGCCTACTAGGTACCACTTAGTACTATGCTAAACACTACATTATACCTATGAAATGAGCACTATTATTATTATTTACCACAGGGAAGACTAAACCTCAGAAAGTTTCAGTAACTTTTCCCAAATCTCAAAGCTCTAAGGGGCAGAGGCAGGACTTGAACCCAAGTCTACAAGAGCCGGAGCCCACATCCTGACCTCTGTGCTGCCTCTGGTTCTGTCTGAGGCCCTAAACACAGGTGTGCCACGTCACGCTGCTGTCAAAGGCTGACGGAGTGATGCAGTTGAAGTGCTTGTGTCTGGCAGGGGGCAGCCTGGCAGGAGCAGCGCAGCCTGGCTCTCTGCTGTGCTGCGGGTCAGACATGCGGGTGGGCAGGGAGAGGCACTTCCGGCCCCCTGACGGGCACTTCTGTGCAGAGCTATTGCAGCGGATGCGAACAGGTTTGACGAATCCCGCAGGTGTGATGGGAGGTAAGATTGGAGGCCACCTTCCAAGCACAGCCCTGCTCTGCTTCTCCCACCTGTGACTAAGCCTGCAGCTCACAGACGATTTCTGCCTCCCCCTCTAAATCAACCCCACTCAGGCACCTCTTGATGACGACCACAGTGGACAGACTGTTACTGTCGGTGAGACCCACTCACACTTTTTCCTCCTCTGAGGGGCTTGCACAACACCAGACACTTGGAAGAATAAAGTGGCCAAGGGAGGAACGATGATAGTAATTTCAGTTAATCAAGATCTGTGTGGCGATTGTGGGCAAGAAACTTAACATCCCTGAGCCTCGGTTTCCCCACTGGGTTGTTGTGAATATTACAGGAGACGAACCATTCCAGTTCAGTGCTGAGCACATGCCGTGCTCAGAGAAGGTCAACTCTTATTACTGAGATGTCACAGGGGTGAGTCAGTGTTGGACATTAGTTTAGCATTTGTGACTTCTGGCCAGCAACAGTGATGCTTCTGTCAGCTGGAGATATTTTGAGAAGTTTTGCTAGAAAATGAAAGGTACCGTCAGTTGCCGGGTGTCCACTGGTGCTCAAGGCAGGTTGCAGGTCAAATGTCACAGGCCAGCTCCCGAGTTTGAACTGGTCAGGGCTCAGCGCCCTCCTGCACTTCCCTTGCTGTGGGCCCAGTTGGGATCGGACAGGCACAGTTTTCCTCCACCATGTCTCCAGGACTAACCCAGAGGCGGGTACCACGGACGTTGCCAGGATCTCCCTGTGCTGTTTCCAGGTCTGGGGGGCTGCGGGGGGATGTCAAGAGCAAGGCCCTTGGCCCACACTTTCCCCACAGTGTCTCCAAGCCCCTGACTTTTGTGTTCGGCCTCGTGTGTCCCATCACTCCCAGTAAAGGGGGAGGTCCCTGGATGGCAGTGCGAGTCCTGTCCTCTGCACCCCAATCCCACTCCCCCAGCAGGCCCTGTGAAATGAAAGCAGGGGGACCAGCCTTAATGCTATGTGAGACATCAAGGAACCCGCTGATTAGAATTACCTGTGGGATTTTTAAAAAATGCATGTTTCTTGCTGGTCCCAGGTTCTGATCGAATTGGAACCTGGAGTGGGGGTGAGACCAAAGAGTGCGCATTTCCAACCAGGCCCTTCGGGTGGTTCTGATGCACCATCGGGTAGTTGAGCGGGTGCACTGGGTCATGGTCACCGAAGTGGAGTGCGGGTAGAGGATGCTAGGGGGATGCCAGATTCATCCTCATTGTTTCCCGCTCTTTCCTTCCTGCCCCATACCCTCTCCTTCCTGCCCCATACCCTTTCCTTCCCGCCCCATACCCTCTCCTTCCCGCCTCATACCCTTTTCTTAGCTGCCTTCTGGGTAAGCAAAGGCTGCTGCCAAGGAGGGCTTTCTGCTTACACCCCAGTGGACAAATTCTGCTCTCCCGGGACTCCCTCCCAGCCTCCAGTCCCACTGCTCGGTGCTTGCTAGAGTCCTCACGGCCTGCCAGGAGGGACAAGAGGCAGGAGGTCAGGCGAAGGCTGGGGACACAGCTGCAGCAGCCCAGGCCTCCATTTCCTCTGGGGCAGAGGAAGCCTGGGCAGGAAGGCCAGGGCTGCCACCAGCCAGGGAGGTATAGGAAGCTCCCCTCACCCTCGCAGCCATCCTGCCCCAAGAGCCTGAGCATCTTGGGTCTTCATTTGGTACCATTCTTAGTAATGGGCCTTCTGCAGCCTATGTGGCCAAACACAGCCGGCCCTACCAGCCTCACTGTGTGATGCCAGAAGATACTCCCTCTCTCTCATGTTAGTTGACCCTATTTGGGCATCCAGTCCCTAGGCAAATGCCTGCATATTCACCACCTTTCAGAAAGTCCTTCTTACTGTCTGACCTCAGTCCTTCTTGCTACAGCCCCAGCCCTTACCTTCTTGTTCTAAACTGCTTAGAAATGGAGTAGGGGGTGGCTTCTGAAGCACTAGTTGGTTTGGAACTAGGTTTGGGGACTGTCATAGATCAGAATGACTCCCCTCAACACTCTTCATCCAACTTCAGGAAAAGTTCAACCTTAGCAGGCCATGGCAGGTCAGACATTCTGTGTCTAAATGTGTTTCACTTCCCTTCCCATGTCATTGGCCCCACCCCCGCCCTTTCCCAGGACAGCAAGGAAAGCAAAGGGGCCGAGGAATCGCGCCCAGAGGGCTCCTTATACTTTGGTGAGGTGGCAGGGAGGCTCCCATCACCTAGCAGGAGCGAGCCCTAGGAAAGTGTTGTGTGGCTGCCACAGCCCTGAGGCTCACGCACGCTGCCACCGTGGGTCGGGAGGCAGTGGGAAGAGCACTGGACTGGGAGTCCGGACACCTGGGTCGTGCTCCCGGTGCTGCCTTGGCATCCGGGCTGCACCTAGGCAAGTCTGTTCCCCCTGCCTTCTCTAGTCCTGCCTTCTCTAAAGTACGGAGCTGGGCTTCATGACTCCCAAGGTGTACCCCTAGGATTCTGTCACGGGCATGTTCCAACCCCAGGTGGCCCCTCCAGACCCTGTGCCTGCCCCAGCCTGCCCTGAGAATGTGCCCAGGACTCCATGCCGTGCGTGACTCCTGCCTGTTCTATCCAGACCCCAATCTAAACAATCTTGATTCCTGTTCCCAGCTTGGCGGGACCCTGAATGGCAGGAAGTGAAGACAGGAGCCTGTTTATGTTCGAGGCAGCCAGGGCTGGGGGGGGCACTGGGAACAGGGTGGGTAAGAAGGAGGTCAGAAGAGGGGGGCGAGAGGCAGAGGACAGAAGGGGTGCTGCTGATGAGCTGGCCCTTCCACCCCAGCCCTGGCTCTCCGGGCGCTCCAGCTGCAGCTCAGCTGCAGGGCTGCAGAGCTGGGAGTCCCCCAAGCTCTCAGTCACTTAAACACGGCTCCCCACCCTTTACCCCTAACAGGATGGTTTCCATGGGGAAGTGAACCAGGACTTCCCCTGCAGGCGCCGCCCCAAAGCCAGATGCACAGAGTAGGGAGGAGGCCTCCCTGTCCCCCCCAAAAACACTCCCAGTGATTTCCTCTGGGTGGGAGGGACCCACGGTCAGTGGCTGAAAACGCTGAGGGGATCGCATTTCACAGATATTACTGCACCCCCTCTCCTGCTCCTCTCTCCAGGACCATGACCTTGGACCCTCCCAGAAGAAGCCTTCTGATGCTACTGTTGGCCTTGGGCCTGGCCCAGGGTGAGTACTGTAGGAAACCGGCCTGAGTGGAGAAAGGGGGGTCCGGCTGAGCTCTGGCTGGGGCTGGGTTTGAGGACTTGGGGAAAGGGGACTGTGGAGCTTGGCTGGAGGGCAGAGACAGGCTCAATCAGACTAGCTACCCCAACCCTCCTCTGCTGTTCTCTCGATCCAAACCTTCAGGCTGGTGTTCTGCCAGACTCCAGGGTGGGAACCTCTGTGTGGGTTGAAGAGGGTGGGTGCAGAGAGTGGGATGCTGTCAGGAAGGCCCTGGAAGAGCCCTCGGGATTGGGGCCGGGGGCCAGGGCTGGGCCTGGCACTGGGCGGGGAGCTCCTAGGATCAGGGAGGGTCAGAGGCCTGGTTCTCCTCGTCTCAGCTGCCCATTGGTGGCAGCAGGGCTGTGGAGGGAAGGATGATGTGAGGGTGGAACTAAGGGACCAGTGCCTCAGGGGGGTTGTCTGGAGGGCCAGCAGAGAGAGGGCAGTGGTGGCTGAGCTCAGCCCGGGGAGCTCAGAGTGGCTGAGCTTCCACTGTGTCTCCCAGGAGACCCCGTGAAGCCTCCGAGGGGCCCACTGGTGACCTGCACATGTGAGAACCCACACTGCAAGGGGTCTACCTGCCAGGGGGCCTGGTGCACCGTGGTGCTGATGCGGGAGGAGGGCAGGCAGCCCCAGGAGCACCGAGGCTGTGGGAACCTGCATGAAGAACTCTGCTGGGGGCGCCCCACTGAGTTCGTCAACCACTACTGCTGCTACAGCTCGCTCTGCAACCACAACGTGTCCCTGGAGCTGAGTGCGTCCGGCCGCCCTGGCCACCCTCCCCGTCCGCTCAGACTCTGCCTTCTCACCCTGCTTTCCCCTCTTGCTCTGGCCAGGAGGGTGGGGGAGGTGGGACCCAGGGATCTAATGGCGGGGTGGCGAGGTGCGGGGGTATCTGGCCCGATGGAAACTGGGTCTCAATGTCCCCCCACAGTCGCCACCCCAACCCCGGAACAGCCACAAGTAGGTGGCCAGCTGCCTCTGATCCTGGGCCCAGTGCTAGCCTTGCTGGCCCTGGTGGTCCTGGGTGCCCTGGGCGTGTGGCAAGTCCGGCGGAAGCAGGAGAAACAGCTGGGCCTGCACAACGATCTGGGTGAATCCAGACTCATCCGGAAGGCATCTGAGCAGGGGGACAGCATGTTGGGGGTATGAACACGGAGACCTTGGGACACAGGGCAGGGGAGGGATAGAAGCCAGAGTCATAGAGGACGCAGAGGTAGCTGAGAAAGGCCCAGTCCCAGTCCAGTGGGTGGGGGGGCTGGGTGAATGAGGAGCATTCGGAGACACGGTAGCAGGGGCCCGGTTGAGGAGGGAGAAGGGGGTTGGGGGAGGGGCAGCCTCTCAGTGGCTTCTCGGTGCCTCCAGGACCTCCTGAACAGTGACTGCACAACGGGCAGCGGCTCAGGACTCCCCTTTCTGGTGCAGAGGACCGTGGCGCGGCAGGTCGCCCTGGTGGAGTGTGTGGGTGAGCCTCGGGGCTGGGGGCCAAGGGCCTGGAGGGGTCAGAGAGCTCTCAGCCTCCCGAGTCACAGGCAGGACCAGGCCTGGCTCAGAATGGGAATTCTGCAGTGGCTTGGAGATGAGTCAGGGCCAGGTCCTTCTGTGGGAGCCGGTGAGGAATGAGGGGCCGGGGAGGGTGGCCTGCCAGCCGGCCTGGCTCTGCATTAAGGTGAAAGTAAGTGTCAGAGGTTCTGGAGATGGGTCGGTGTGGCATCAGGACGGCAGGCTCTTCTGGGGGCTACTGTGCCCAGGGGCTCGTGTGACTGCTGCCCCTCTGCTCCCGGCCATCGGATCAGGAAAGGGCCGCTATGGCGAGGTGTGGCGAGGCCTGTGGCACGGCGAGAGCGTGGCAGTCAAGATATTCTCCTCGAGGGACGAGCAGTCCTGGTTCCGGGAAACGGAGATCTACAACACAGTGCTGCTCAGACATGACAACATCCTAGGCAAGCGGCGGGGACGGCGGGGACGGCGGGGCGGCACCACGCCAGGGCCAGTCCGGGGCCTTCGTCCTCCTGCGCTCCGGGCTGGCGTCCCCAGCCCCTGCACACTGACCAAGCCCCAACCTCTGGCCCCGGCTCCCTCTCTGACCTAAGTCAGAGTGGCTTCCACCCCAGCCCCAGCCCCAGGTTTGCCCTGACCCAGTTCATCTTGTGCCTTCGGTCCCAGCCCCGACCCTGGCCAGTCCACCCTCCTTCATCCCCAGACCCTTGGCCAAGCCGCCTGACCCTCTGCCCACAGGCTTTATTGCCTCGGACATGACTTCCCGCAACTCAAGCACGCAGCTGTGGCTGATCACGCACTACCACGAGCACGGCTCGCTCTACGACTTCCTGCAGAGGCACACTTTGGAGCCCCATCTGGCCCTAAGGCTGGCCGTGTCCGCCTCCTGCGGCCTGGCGCACCTGCATGTGGAGATCTTCGGCACGCAGGGCAAACCCGCCATCGCCCACCGCGACCTCAAGAGCCGCAACGTGCTGGTCAAGAGCAACCTGCAGTGTTGCATCGCGGACCTGGGTGAGCCGGTGGTGGTGGGGCCTTTGCAGGGAGTGGGGTGGGATATGGTGGGCCCTTCTGGGGGGGGTGGGACACAGAATGGGTGGCTCTGCAGGGGGACAGGGTTCACAATTCAGTTCGCTCGCCCTTGCACTCGATTCTGCCTTTGCCTGTGTGTGTGCCTGGTGGCAGCGATGACATCAATCGATGCTTTAAAACTAAGAGATGTTTGCTCTCTCATTTCACCTCTGCAAGAACCCCACAACTTGCCTAACACTCTTTTTAAGCTTAAACTTCTTCCGCCACACCACCCCGGCTCAAGGAGTTGGGAGACGGGGGCAGGGAGCCAGGAACCTGGGTCCTCATCCTGGCTTCACTGACTGCATTGCTATTCCTCACAGGGCACAGGGGTTCTGCTCTGTGAAATGGGCACAATACCCCCTGTTTGCTCACTCACATCTCTCTGGGTTCTCGGGCACCTAGAGCACTGCACAAGTGAAGCAAAACGCAGCCAGTGGCTCTCCCAGCCCTCCTCGGACAGGTGTCCCTTTGCCTGCCCCTCTGTACCTCACCTCCAACCCCACCTGCCCCCTGGGCCCCAGCCTGGGGCCACCCTGTCTGTGCGCTCAGGTGAGCAGCAGAAATGACAGCCCTGGTACCCACAGGCCTGGCTGTGATGCACTCGCAGGGTAGCGATTGTCTGGACATCGGCAACAACCCACGCGTGGGCACCAAGCGGTACATGGCCCCTGAGGTGCTGGACGAGCAGATCCGCACCGATTGCTTCGAGTCCTACAAGTGGACGGACATCTGGGCCTTTGGCCTGGTGCTGTGGGAGATCACCCGGCGGACCATTGTCAATGGTGAGGGCCCACCCTGCACAGGGTGGGGGAGGGGAGTGGGGCAAGTGAATAGACGGCAGGAGACGGGGGCTGCCGGCCAAGGCTGGTGCCTGCAGCCAGAGGGGCTTGCAGCCAGACCGCCTGTGTTCCATTCATTGCTACTCGCCCGCTGGTTCGGCTGAGCAACCTTTTAAGTTCATCTGAGTCTGCAAGTCTGTGGCTCTGGCTGTGACATCTTGGGTAAGTGGTAACAACAGAAACATTAGTATCAGTTAACATTTTTTGAGCTTAAATATGTGCCAGATGCCTGGTGATATACGTGCAATGCCTTGTTTAATGGTCCCGTGTTGTCAGAAAGCTGGTATCGCTTAGTAGTTACGAGCGTGGGTTTGGACCCACACTGCCAACATTCAGCTCCCGATTTTGCCACTGACCACGGGCAAGTTACTGAATGTCTGTGCCTCAGTTTCCTCATTTGTAAAATGAGGATAAAAATAGTTTCTAGTTGTTGAGATGATCCGAAGAAATATTTGGGATAGTATGGGAGCTGTTCTGGAGCTCAGTCAGTACGAGTGGCAATTATCGTTGTCCTAATGAATCCCCGATACATCGTCGTCGCCATTGCACAGGTGAGGGGACGGAGACGGGGTTACAGCCGGCTGAGTACGGCACCAGGGTCTGAAGCCAGGCAATCTGACGCTGGGGCCAGCGCTGGTCACCACTGTGCTGCTCAAACCTCTCTGGTCCTTGGTTTTCTTGCCCACAAAAATTCGGATACAGCAGTGCCCGTGCCGCCTGCTTACTGCTTCCTCTTTGTGACTGTGGGTGCCGCAGGGGACTCAGATTTGCAGTGGCTGGGAGCACATGGGGGGACCTTATTCATGCTGGCCCCATACAGCATGAATGGGGCCTGTGGCCAGTGCCTTCCCGGGGGCGGATGAATGGATCGGTGGTGCCTGGACTGGGTAGGAGGCTTGTTAGTCCTCAGGGAGGCTGCCCATGGGGTGGGGCTGCCAGGAGTACGGAGAGTTTGGAGACAAGCCTCAGGAAGTGACTGGAGCTCTGTTCCTTGAGGAGAGGGACATTCTCATTTCCTGAGCATGTACGAGGAGCCAGCTCCATGCCAGGCTTCGTTTGCTCTCAGCAGGCATTGATGGGTGGAGGCCAAGGTGTGACCAGTCCCTCTGGGAGACTCAAGGGGCTCAGGTTCCCGTCCCTTCAGCGATGAACTTTCAGAGTCAGCTCTAGAGGCTGGGGTCAGGGAAGCGGGTACCTTGCAGGAGCCAAGGCCCCTGGTCCAAGGGGGACCAGGCTGCAGGCAGGAAAGGAAGGCTGGACCAGCCAGGGCTGAGGGGGAGGCTGACTGCAGGCTGCTGGGACGGAGGGAAGCCCTGTCAGCCCCACACAGATTCGTGGCGCATTATAAACACTGTAATCTGGTGTCAGCCCCAGCGCTGATTAAAGGCCCATTAGACACGCTCAGGCCTCTGCGCAGCGCTGATTAGGGCGCGAGCGGCACAGGGACCGGCCTGGAAGTCTGCCGTGGGGAGAACAGCTGGCGCGGGCGCTCCGGGTTGTGGCTGTGGAGTGCAGCAGCCGTGTGGCCCTGGTCCCCAGCCTCGGCCTGGGAAGCAGGGAGGGGCTCGGGGCACTTTTGCCAGGTCTGCCTCTCCTGCGGAGCCGTCTGCGGCTGCACAGCCATCACTTGCAGGGAGCTCCCACTAGGGATCGCGCACTCCGTGGCGTTAGGAGGGACGGGTGCTGCTGGCTGAGGGGTCAGCGGGGGCCTGTGTCAGCCTTAAGAGGGGGTGGATATTATTTGAATTTGGATAAAAATCCCTTTCCTTGAGGACAGGCATTTTCTGCCCCTCCTCTGGTTCCACATCCTCGCCCAGCAGTCAGCCAGCTGTCCTCCCTAACAGGTAGCCTGGAGGTCAAGAGCACAGCCTTTGGTTAGATTTGGGGGGCCTTAAACACCCTGTCTCTGTCACTTATTCCCCGTGCTTTCAGATAAGCTTCTTAACCTTTCTGGCCTTAACTCCATTGCTTATAGAAAAGGAGCTCGTAATATCGCTTACTTCGTAGCATTGTGGTGAGGACTAATGCAAGGCAGTCAGGACAGTGCTTGGCACTGGGCGAGTGCTCGGTGAGCACTGGTGTTGCTGGGCACCTGTGAGAGCGGGGCCCTGCCTGGGAAGCAGCTGCGGGAAGCCGGGAACGAGACCGGCCTAGGAATCCAAGCAGATGGGTTTAAGTCTTGACTCTGCCATCATTCTCTGTGCGGCCTCGGCCTCAGCTTCTCTGAGCATTCATTTCTTCAACTGTAAAATACAGGTAATAACAGCACCCACCTCCTAAAAGTATTGTAAAGACAGGACAATTCTCAGAAAGCATTTAGAGCACAGTGCCTGGCGCGTGGTGAGTGCACGATAAGTGGTCGTAGTAACACCTGTGATGTGATTATGTATTCGTGATAGTCTAGTGTTCTTCTCTAGGGCAGCACGGTCAGGCAGCGGGTTTCTTGGCCCCTGGGACAGAGGGTGAGCAAGGTGTCCTCCAGGTAGTACTGGGCCCTCTTGGGGCCCCAAGTGACTGTCCCTTCCGCCCTCCACTCCCAGGCATCGTGGAGGACTACAGGCCACCCTTCTATGACATGGTGCCCAACGACCCCAGCTTCGACGACATGAAGAAGGTGGTGTGTGTTGACCAGCAGACCCCCACCATCCCCAACAGGCTGGCTGCAGACCCGGTGAGGCCTCTGCGGGGGGCTGGGTGGCAGGGGGCGGTGGCTCACAGCCGGAGTGTCTGGGCCCCGAGGAACCATTGTCTGAGGCCTCTGCTGCACCCGGACAGATTCTGGGGGCTTGATTCTAGGGGGCCTCCCTGGCTACACCCTCCCACACCCCTGGCCTATGGACCCCCGGGGACCCTCTCGTTAACCTGGGATTTTCAGAGCCCTTCACCTTGCCAGAAAAATCAGAGGTTCCCTACTGCATTTCTTACCATGAAGTTTTTGCCATTGTTTGTTTTTATCTTTTCTTAAAACACTCCCTGTACTTTTACAAGACAGGTACTCATGTGAATGTAAACACATAGGCCTGCACACCCTTCTACTCAAATGTACACTCACACACATGTGCATATATGTATATGCATGTACACACACATAGACACACGTGCATTTTATACAATACACACCCCCACAAAAAGCCACACGTGCATTTATATGCACACACACATAAAATCCCGCTCAAGAACCAACTGGAGGTGAGGTCGGCTCCCTCTGGGGCCACTGAGCTTCCTGGGATGGCTTCTTCCTTGGACACGTGCATTTTGGGGGCAGTTCCCACCACGCACTCTTCCAGTGTTCACGGGGCCCGGCCGGGGGTGGTGGAGGGCTGGGAGACACCGCCCTCCACATGGGTGGCTGCTGACGGGGGTGTGGGAGCCCCAAGGCTTGTACATCTCCCTTTTCTTGGCTCTTGGTGGAGGTGGAGGTGGAGGGTGGGACGAGACACTACACACCGATGGGGCTGAGTGCGCACATGTCCCCCTGCCCTGCCTGCCTTTCTCCACACCCCTCTCACTCCACGCTCTTCCTCTTCCGTGTGTTTTCCTCTTTTCATCCTTGCCCGATCCCTCCCTTCTCCCCTCACTGCTATCTTTCCCCCCCTCCTCCTTCTCAACACTGTCTCCCTCTTCTGGTCCTTCCTGTTCTGCTGGTACTGTCCCACCACTGGGCCATTCTCCTTGCCCCTCCTTCCCACTTTCCCCATCCCATGTCCTGCTCCTCTCCTCTGCCTTTCTGTCCCTGCCCCCAGGTCCTATCGGGCCTGGCACAGATGATTCGGGAGTGCTGGTACCCCAACCCCTGCGCCCGCCTCACTGCGCTGCGGATCAAGAAGACACTACAGAAACTCAGCGGCAGTCTGGAGAAGCCCAGAGTGATTCCCTAGCCTCGGGCTGACACCTGACTCCCCTTGGCCTGCAGTGTGTGTGGTGGGGGCAGGTGGTGGATGGCGGCGTATCTGAGCAGAGGTGGTCTGTGCTTGCTGGAGAGGAGAGTGCCCCTCTAGGGGCAGCTGTGCCTGCCTCGCTCGGCCCCCAGCCTTTCCAGCCAAAAATACAGCTGGGCTGAAACCCGATCTCCCCACTGTCTGGCCTGCTCAGAGCAGCAGGCTCCCTGACGCCTGGCTCTGTCCCCACCACCGTGTCCTGGGTGCACCCCCCACCCCAGGACAGGATACAAAGGAGGCCCCAGAGCCAGGATGGCCAAGCCAGGGAATCCCAGTCCCTTGGGCCTAGAGCCTGGGCCTGCACTTTACCCCCTGCCCTCGCTCAACCCCACTGCCCCACCAGAGCTGCCGCCGTGGCAGAGGGCCCCGTCTGGCCTTCAGCAGACACCCTGCCCTGCCAGGCCTTAGCCTCTGGCCCAGGCCCCAGATGCCCGGGGACCATGAGTTTCTCTCTGTGGCTTAGCATCTCTGCTCCGTGATGCCTGGGCCCCTGTTGGCTGAGTGCCAGCTGACCAAAAGAGTTGGGGCCTGACCCTGGGCCTCACCTCTACCCCCATTCTAGCTGACTCACTGGGCCTTAAAACCGAGGGGTCCTGCTGCGGTGTGGCATGGCTATAGGCCATAGGCCATGGGCAGGTCAGATGAGTCAGGCCCAGCACTTTCAGAATAACTGAGAGGACATCAAGACCAAGCAAGGCCGGGGAGGGGCTCGGCTGGGAGCCAGAGAGCCAGGTCCTGGTCCTGGATGCTTGCTAAGTGACAAGAATGAGGCGGTCACTGTTGAAGGAACTGTTTCTTCATCTGCGTATTGAAAGGGTTGCCCCCAGTGTCTTCTGAGGTTTTTTCAGCTCTCACGTTCTTTGAAATGTCAGCCTGTACAGAATCCAGTTCATCAGTTCCTTCTACTTCTTATGCCCCAAGAAGTGATTTGGCCCAAGATGAGGATTTGAAAATAACTGTCTGAGGCCAAGAGTGTCTGAGACGCCACCTAGTCTAATTCTACAGGCTCCAGTTCCCACCAGCGGCCATCCTGGGGTGCAGACAGTCACTGGCCTTTTAGCAGACAAGCCAGCCTTTGCCCCTCTGCGGCTCTGCCTTCTCTGCCCACTGCTGACAGCACTGAGGCTGGCTTCCTGCAGGGCCTCCAAAGCTCAGAAGAAATTTGGCTCCGGCCGATAATTCTCTAGCACCCAGGTTGCTGCTCCCCGTCGTCCCCTGGCCCAGACCCTTGGCCAGGGCCCAGAGCGTGTGTGCCTAGAAAGAACCTGGTGGCTGTAGAGAAACACACAGAAAGTTCAGCATTCGGAAGTCAAGGGTCTGTGTCCAGGCCCTGAGGAGGTTGCCCTGAGCCCTGGGTGGGTGGATGGCCTAGGGGGCAGGGGTTTGGAGGCAGGGCCTGAGGGCTTGTGGGGGTGGGGCTCATGCTTGGGGCAGGGTGGAGAAGGACCCTCAGCTCTTCACTGGAGAGGAAGAAAGCACAGCCTCCTCTCCTGCTGTGAATGACCGGGCACAACCTCAGCAGGCCAGCTTCCCGGGTGTCTCCACCAGTGCCCCCGGGGCAGTTTCCCAGGCCTTCCTCCCAGCGTTGTGCAAGGTGGGGGTGGGGGTGGGGAAGAACCGGGAAGTGAAACTGGGTGAAAACAGAAAGCTAGATGGACCTGCTGGGTTACCAGATCACCACGGGGCAGCTTGCTTCCTGTCTTCTGGCCCCTGGAACCCACCTAGGGACCAGTCCTTCCCTGAACGATTTTCTCTGCATTGGGTTTGGGGGCCAAATGGCTCCTTCTGAGACCCCACGGCCAGAAACCGAAGCTCCCCAAAGCCCAGAAAATCCCTAGGAGGAGAAGGTCCGAGGCTGGAGGTGGAGTGACAGGGGGCGTGTGTTGAGAGAAGGGGGCCAGTGCTAGGAGAACAGCCAGAGGCCAGGGAGGAAAGGGGGCGCTGGTGAGAACTGTCTGCACAGTGCTTCTGCCTGCGTGCAGGGCATTCCAAGGTCAGAATTACGGGCACTTACCTGGAGATAGTGTTTGTGAGAGCACTTAGCTTGTGCTTAGCACACCAATAAAACCATGCTGGAATCCTGAGTTCCCTCTGAGTCTTCCTGGGCTGGCGCCTCTGCAGTGGTCTACCTGTTGTAGAGGGAAACCGAGGGAGGAAGGTCCCAGGTATCACGCCTGGGCTGTGCCCTTAATTGATAGCCCATAATTTGCGCAGGGTTCTGCTTAAACCCGCCCCCTCCCCGCAGCACCCCAAATTTCTATTCACACCATGAGTTGGAAGCAGCCTGCTCGCTTGCGCCTCAGCGCCCTCTGCTGGCCAAAGGGCTGGCCAGCGACCGCCGCCCTCCCGCCCCTGCGCAGCTACCCACCAGCTTTTTCTTGGCGGCAGGGATCTCCGCAGCGCCCCCCATCGTTCCCGGCGACGGGGGGCGGGGGCGGCCGCCACCCCGGTGACAGCGTGGGTGAGTTCCCGGTGCTTCCATTTTGTAGGTACCGTCGCCTCAAAAACCGCACCTCGAAAGGAGCTTTCCATGTCCTCACTCAGAGGCAGCTTGGACCCGCCTGCCTGAATGCCCTGTTCTCAATTCCCTCCTCGGATGGGGTCCCCCCATGCCCGGAGTACTCAGAAAGGGTACCCCAACTCCTTTTACCGCCGAGGCCCTCCTCTGCTCCCCTGGAGCCCCCGCCCGAGTAGCCCTCATGCCCGGAGCAGTGCACATGGGGCCCAAGCAACAGACAGTGCGTGCCCTCCTTGCCAGCGCGGGGCCACGAGGACATTCCTGGCGTCCCACAAAGGCAGTCTTTCTCCCGCCCCTGTGCCTGCCAGATGCTGGTCCTTACGTCCCCACCCTGATGTCCACACTGTGGTTGGCGAGTGGACAGAAAGGCAGTAGGAAAATTGCAGAAAATGAGTTCTGAGAAGTCTGGCTGGGACCTGGGAAAGAAGCACGGGCCCGTGGCCCGCAGGGGTAGAAGCGTCCCCAGGAGGCGGGTGTCCAAGGCCCTGTCTCCACGCAGAGCCTCAGGGAACCTGCCTGCCTTTGAAAGAAAACCCATTGATTACTTTGCAAAGCTTTGCCCTGCTTTCCTGGGGGCCCTGGGTTCTAATCTTCTTACCTCTACGGAAGAGGGAGAGGATCTTCTGTGTGGACCCTCCCTAAGGGATGAGGAGTGTCTATAACACGCCCAGGTGGGGGTGAAGGTGGTCCCCAGAGCATGAGCTTTGGAATTGAAGAGCATCCCTTCCCCCTTGCCACACCCAGGCCCTCAAGGACAGTTCTCTGTGCCCTCCTATTGCCTTGCTCCCTCAGCCCCGCCTCACATCGGCCTTCAGGGAGGGTGCTGTTTCCTCCTGATCCTCACTCACGTCAAGGTTGACAGATCCAGAGATGGCCAAGCCCTCAAGCCTCAGGGCCAGCCCTGGGAGTCCGGAGTCGGGCGGAGGGCTGCACGTAGTCCAAAGTCCAGCCCCCCTGGGTGGGGACTGATGCTCCTGTGCAGTCATCACTCCGGGTGGGCGACTCTTGGAACAAGCTGCTTCCATCAGGGCCACATTCAGTTTGCTAGAAATAGAGACAGAGGGCTTCTCGACTTTGCATATCATTTGCATAATGTCATAGACACAGTCTATTTTCAGGCAGTTTTCAGGTTAAAGTGTTGTCACTGCTGCCCTGCGGGGTGTCACGTCTGGATGAGTCTCTCTTCTGTTCTTTGTCACCCACCCACTCTTACTGACCTAGATCCCCAGCCGCAGGAGCGAGTGGTGAGGTGGGGGGAGACTGGGGTTGTCCAGGGAGACACGGGGGCAGGTCGGGAGGCACACGGATTTTCCTTTATTGCCGCCACCACCAAACACAGAGGTGGCTACTCAAGGGCAGCTGGTAGGCAGAGGGCGAGGAGCCAGGAGCAAGGTGGCCCATGTTCTGTTCTGTACGAAGCTTTCCTACTCTTCTACTAGGAGAACAGCCAGTTCCCATGCAAAGACATCTAGATAAACCTGTTCCTCTCAACCGCCCATAACGCCTTGCTTGGCCCAGACATCCCTCTTGGGCATTTATTTTCAGCACTAAGATTTGATTTTAGCCTCTCGGGAAATCTGATCCCTGGTCTGTCCCTCTCCTGGGAGATCCATCCGGGAGACCAGTATCCTAATCTGATGATCAGTGTTTTTAAAGCACCTGGCACACAGTAGGAGGTCAATCAATGCTCCAGTGCCCTCCCCCTCTGTTCAGAAGCCTCTGCCAAACACCTAATTGTCCTGGGCCAGGATGCCCAGCTCAGGCGCCATCCTCCAAGGGCTTGAGGCAAACACACCAGAAGGGCCAGTTGGGGGGACTGTCACTAAGTTGTCTGTGAAATTGTCACGGCACTTGGCCTCTTAGCTAGAAAAGAGGGGTTCGGTGGATTTTAGGGGCAAGGGCAACTGTCACTTCATAGCTTGACCTGTCTTTGGTCACAGAGGGCTAGGCCTGGAGCCCCATCCAGAGTCCCCACCAGACCCTCTGGTCTCCAGACCTGTCTCATGTGCTGTGTTCCTAAGGGCTCACCAGGTGCCTGGGAGCCTTTCTGGGTCCTGAGAATCAGGAGGCCGCTGGTCAGACTGGACAGCAGCAGCACATTACCCAGAATTCCCAGTCCCCGGCGTCCAGTCCCCCTGGACCTGCCTCATCCCCTTAGGCAGGCGTTTCCTGTTGATAAGAAGCTCAGTCACAAACACTGATAAAGAGATGAAAAAAGGAAATTGACGGGCTTGGGTATAATGGGCATTTTGTCTGCCTTTTCTGCCCTTTTCCTTCTCCTGGCACCCCTCCCCCACTGCTTCCCAGAACCAAGGAGAAAACATGCCCCCCGCCTGCACTTGGGCCCTATTTTGTAGTTTCCAGGAATTTAGCCTTACAAAGCCCTTAGAAGTGGTGCCTGGCTGGAACCAGGTGGCGGGGGCAGAGTTAGGAGCTCAGGGGCAGGAAGCTGTGGGTGCTTCGAGGCCACTGAGCCCAGGGGAAAGGGCAGTGGCAAGAGGAAGGAAGGACATCCAGGCACAAGTTTCATCTACAACCTTTATTCTCCATGCCCCGCCCCCCACCCAGAGGCCTGGGTCCAAGTCCTGATTAGGTGGCTGCACAGTCTATAATTAGTGGATTTTCTGTCATTTTCATCTCAGGCTCATTGCTGGAAAATCTCATTAATTTTGACTCTACTAATTTGGAATGTATGATTCTTCAGGACAACTGGACTGATGTTTTGAAAAGTAAACAAAGCAAACACATTTGCAAAGCACGTCTGACTGCCCTGGGGTTTGGAGTTGGTAGCTCAGCTCCACGTGGGCAGCTCCCCCGCAGGCGCTCGGCCTGCAGTGAAGATAACCTGCCAGCAGGTGGGTGATGAGGCTTCACCAACTCTGGCACTTCAGACTCAGCTGCCATTGCTCACATGGAGACGCTTTGAAGGTTTGTACCTGACACTCCTTTTTACCTCCTCCCCAAAGATGAATTCCGTACTAAAACAGGAAGGAGTTCCTTCCACAAAGATTAATTCCTTAATTAAATCCTTAAGAAATGGAATAGGTGGTTCTAAACGGCCACTGTTGAAAAGAGAACTGATGGTCATATACAACTGGGACACTCTCTCCTGGATTCCTAGCCGTCTCCCGTCCTGGCCGCCACCTGGGCAGGGCCTTCTCCCGGCTGATGCCCGTCTCTGTCCCCGAGCTGCTGACACTTGATGGAAGGAGCAGAGTAATGAAGAGCAAAGGGCTTCATCCCAGTCAAGGTTCCAGTTGGATTTTTTTTAGTAATTCAATAAATTTATTCTCAATTTTACATGGAAGAATATAAATCCATGAAGAGCTAAGTCAATTTTTCCTTATTTTTGGTTACTGTATGATAGGGTATTCCTTCACATAATTCAGAAGTAAATGATTCAGTCCCCTCAAAATTCACACATCGAAACCCTGACGTGGTGGTATTTGGAAGTGGGAGCCCCTGGGCGGTACTTATGTGTGTGGGTGGAGCTCACAATGGGACCAGTGTCCTAAGAGCAGAGGATGAGAGTCTCTCCACCACGGGAGGGCACAGATGAGAAGGCGGCCACCCAGGACCAGAAAGTGTGCCTCCGCCCGGATCCCAGGCCAGAGCAGTGCCAATCTCAGACTCCCCGCCTCCACAACCTTGACAAATAAATGTTGTTTAAGAAAAAAAAACAAACAAGTTTCAAAGGTAGAGAGTGAAGTGTCTCCCTCCCATCCTTGTCTCCTGCCTGCCCAAGTTCCCTGACCCCCAAAGAAACACTAATCTTAGTTTCTTATGCTTCTGTCCCTTCAGATTTTATGTGTACTAAGCAAATTTGAATATGGGCCCTTGTCCCTCCCACCTTTTGTATAAAAGTAGCCTAGTCTATACACTGTTCTACACCTTACCATTTTTACTTATGTCTTGGAGATCTTTCCAGATCAGCAGGTGGGAAGTTCTTGCTTTCTTCCTTTTTAACAACAGCCTAGTATCCCACTATTTGAATGTACCATGACTAAACCCTTCCCCTATTCTTGGAAGTTTCTAATTTTGGGCTATTACAAAAAAAATGTGGCAATGACTAGACTTGTATGAGCAAAATTTTGCTTAATTCAAGTGTATCTGTGGGATAAATTCTAAAAAGTGGAATTCTGGGGTCAAAGGACATGTGAATTTGGCTAGGCCAATGCTGAAGAAGGAGGGAGTGTGCAGACTTGCCCCATCAGATAATAAGGTGTGAGACAGGCAATAGGAACAGAAGTAGAATAATACCAGGTGAATGGACAAACAGACACATGGACAGGGAGATGTAACAAGCATAGGAACAGATCTGTGGACACCTGAAAACCACAATGTGATGAAGGCGGCGTCACAAACTCGTGGAGAGGGTGGCTGAGGGGTGCGGTGGGGCTTTGGGGGGAGTGAGGAAGCGTCCTAAGTTGGTTATGATAATGGTTGTAAAACTCTGAATACACTAAAAGCCACTTTAAATAGGTGAATTGCATGGTATGTGAATTATACCTCAATAGGGCTGTTAAAATATTAGTTTTTTTAAGGCCAGGTTAGATAGTG